GAGACCTGCTAGCCAAGTCCTGATGTCTCCAGCTTAGATGTGAGAGGTTAGAAGCTCTTAGACAGGTTACACGCAGAATTTCAATCACTATGTTGAATATTTTCTAGAGAGACACACTGAACTCTTAGCTGTTTCCTTCCATAAACACAGTTGTAACATTAAGCTCACTAAATGCAGCTCTCGTTTTAGTTTTTTCAGCTAATAAGTTAATAAGCAAATTTTAGTGCTGTCCTTTGTCTCCCGCGAGAACAGAATCGTGCTCTTTCCCCGTGTGTCAAATAAACAGTATCAGAATGTCTGGCACTTAAGAGGTCTTCTGAAGCTATATCTTGATTGTATCTTGGGCCTGAAGCATGCTAGGCAACACCTCTACCGTGGAACTCTATCTGCACCCTGTTGACTTATTTTCGGTTTTCCGATAGACCCTTCCTGATTTGCTCAGCCTAACCTTGATTGTCATTCTTTAATTCAGTCTGCACTTGAACTTTCAATTCTTCCCCTGCCTCCAAAATTACAGGTTTGTACCACCAGGCCCAGCTCTGTATATAATCTTTCTGTGGAGAGACCACCTAGAGCCAAATGAAAGCCAGGATGGGATTCTCAACTTCTCTGCCGTGGTTCCAGTCATCCAGGCGGGTGTAGTCTTAGACTTGTCTGTCTGAGAACCAACGGTGTGTTAGCCTGCAGGAAGCTCTCAGATGAAGGCATCTTGTGGCTGCTGTGGTGACAGGGGAGAAGAGGGTACTCATCCCATTCCTCATCTGCCTTGTATATGACACTCAGTTTTCCACTTCAGGAAAAAGCTCAATTCTTACTATAGTCTAGCATAGAGGGTAATGGTTGTGAACCCAATCCACTACTCATTTTGGGACTTTCCATGTTTTGGAAATGTAACAGTTTATCATATGTTAATTCTTGGAATTTGTGGGAAACATTTACTCCCTGCCTTGCTGAGAGCCTATTTCAGGTGCTGGCAACATACAGAGAAAGACATGCGATTCCTTAATAGAAATGTAAATGAACAAATCATTTAATGAACTAGAACTGAAGGAATTAGAAGGAGCCTAGTAACGATTTCTTAATGAGGACAGAATTTGAGCTGAGGATGAGGGAGTAGGCTTTGGTAAGACAAGCAGATAGCCAAGCAACATTAGCATTTAGGCATAAAATGAGAACAGCGTTTTGTTTCTGGACGTCTGTAGATACTACCCACTAGTATATAAGAAAGCATCTCACCAAGGGGAGGTAAAACAGCTTATCTGTTTAAATAGAACTAAAATCTTTCTCTTGTTCCACTCCATTCTTTTTCTGCTCATCATTATTTTTGACCTCTTCATATTGTATTGTCTACTGATAGCAGACACACACATTCTTTCAAGGCACACTTTCTAAGAGCTCAACTTTTAGAGGCTTTTAAACCCAAATCTCAATTTTTTGCGGTTACTTTAACACTAAGGGGCAAAGCAGTAACCAGGTCATCGTGTACCTGCCCTGTGTCGAGTAGAAGACCTGCACGTGGTAAAGATTAGCCGGGGACACAGTGTGTCTTCTAACTGTTTAGAAACATCTCAGGGAAGAACATTTTGATTGGGCATCTCAGAAGCTAATTGTAGCTTATTCGAAAAGTCACAAACATAAACTCTGTTTCTAAGTAGGTACCATAAAGACAATTGCCTAGCTGAAGGCAATATATTTAAATCTTTTCTTGAATCACTCTATTCCCTGAAGTGAGAGTCTTGGAGGCTTATGGAGGGCACCAGGACAGTCTTCCCAATGCTTTGAAAAGAAACCTGCTCACTGGAGAATGTGGATAGATCCCCCAAGTACATTTACTCATGTAGAAGTATTTGGATGCCGGCATTCATTGATGACTGAATTAAGAAATCAATGTGGCTGGTTTATAAAGGGACCACTCTGTGTCCTTAATGAGCACATTGGGAGAATAATAATCGGTGATGGTGATAGAGCTTAACCCAGCAATAAAGAATTAAGCATTAAGAATCCTGCATTCCAAATACTTTTCACTAACACTGCCCAACAGTCACTAACATTGCGGGAGGTGCCTCCTTTACTGCCTTCCGAAGAATCTCCTTTAATGAGAAGATGAAGCTGGAGAGGAAACCCCCTTTGAAGCAATTTGGACGACAAAGCCATCCAGGTTAAATGGAGGACTAGTTAAGGTTTAAATTGGAACTATCCACCACTGGGTTGAGTTTTAAGAGCTTATACCTCAGTTGGTAGCGTTATTGAAGTTGTGGACCTTCAGGGGGTGGGGCTTAGCTGGCAGAAGGCACCCCTAGGGATAGGCCTGCCCTATGGTCTGGTTTAACTTACTCTGCTTCCTATTCTACCATAATGGGAAGCCTGTATCACATGTTCCCAGAGCTATAAAATTGCCATGAGTTCCCTGCCAAGACACACCCTCTGAAACCGTGAGATAAAATGCATCTGTTCTCTTACATGGTGACTCTGTCAGATCCCTCTTTCACACCAATGCAGAAGTTACAAAGACAGGAACATTACAAAGTTTAAACAGCTGAGAGACTCACAGAAGGGAAATGCAGAATGTCCCTCTCTTAGATCTTTCTCAATCGCTTGTTTTTCAACATGAAACTCTGGGCTCTGGTCTGTGCCTGGATGCTAAAATTAGATGGTAGGCATTTAAAACCGTGTGATGGATTTGTGGTCATTTATTCTACTTAGTTTTATTCTCTTTCAGTTCAAGCTTTGGTGCCTATTCAGAAAGTCTACGTATTTAAAGATTTAGTGCAGTACTACCAGCTTCCTGCTCTCACCAGTCACCAGGATGTATGACCACAGTAGTCATGGAAGCAGAGGCTGATAGTCATAAAAGATGCTCAGGGAACTTCTCCAGAGATGTTTTTGAGCAATGTCCAGAAGTGTTTTAAATTCTCACAAAGAACAGAACCCCGTGACCCGTCCTTTCCTCTCTAGCTCATTCCTTGTTCTTTAGTGAGATCTTTGTCTCCTTGCACACGGACACTTGGCATGCCTTTCTGACTAGCCTGTGAAGATGCTGTGTTCATTCACATTGTTTTATATGCGGCTGATTACCTATTTCTGTACAATTTCTGTCATGTCAGCCATCTTCATTTCTTACCTTGGGTACACCGTGAACACTTTCTCAATATTCCACAGTGGTCCTGAGCTCACAGCCAGAGAACACAGTAGCAAATCAGGCATTTTGATAAAGGAGACATGGCTTCTCTTGATAGCATATATGGGATTTTTTTGAATGTACATATATCTTTTCTTCCCTTTAAACTAGGCTGACTTCTTCGGAAGAGTGCACAGTATCAAAAGAACAAGGCCAAATAAGATAAACATTTGTAAGGTAGCTTGTTAAATAGTTATAAGAAATGATTATGGACACATGCAGAGTTAAAATTTACTGCAGGGAAAACAAATGTCACAAACAGCATATATGTAATTCTTTATTGAATGTACTTAGAAAACGTTTGACACTTGGCTGGTGAAATTGTTATCGAAGTGTGTTGGATGTAGACCTTAAAATTTATCCTCTCCAAACAGAAATTTTCACCTCTTTTGGACTCAAGTATAAAAGTAATGGCAAAATTTACATGATCTGCTCTGAGATGTGCAATATTTTCTACCCTTCTAATAAAGTTAAAGGATGTTTATGAAAAACCAATTATCCAAATTACTCATAATATGACTATGTGCTCTGAAGAAGGGAAGAAATTCGAAATAGCTCATTTAGAACAGCACAGAATTATGCACGGAATTTTAAGTGCCAGAAATCTGGAATATAAAAATAAGGCTAGGCCAATTCAAATAGAGTCTTTTTAAGCAAAAGTGTGACATATAAAGAACATATCATATCCCTTCCTCTAATACTTGGGCTTTTATTATAGTAATTTAGTAAGAGGTAGAGTATGGCTCCTCTTAGAATCATGGCCTTTGATTACTGTGCCATTAGTGTTCTCACCAGAAAAAAAAATAATGAATTTCAAGTAGCATATAGAACTCATATGGGGTAGCTGAAAGGACACAAAAGATCAATCGAAGGTCTAGCTCTCATTCCACCTACAGATGGGAGTTTTTGTGCCGCCTGTCTTTTGGGGAATTGGGAAAATGAGGAAATTGAGCTGGATGACTTCTCGGCCTTTTCAGCTCTAAGGTTCTGTGGCTTTGTGAGTGAGCACCACAGGCATCTGAGGCGTGTGTTCTTTTTCTAATGAAGTTATGAGAGCAGTTATCAGCTTTTTATCTAATTTATGTTGTGTGCTAAATTCTGTCTCCCTAATTTCTGGTCATTATTTGGCTTCTCTGAATATACTTTCCCTGAGAAATTCTTTGTATTTGCAATTTCTGGACACAAGAACAAAAAATTGTATGAAAAATAGAGTGCAGAGATACCATACCTTCTTGTGATTGATAGCATGAATAGGTCCAAATATAATTCAGCTTATAAGGACCATATTATAACTTTGCATCATTTGTACTGTGGGCAGGGCATTTTTATTCCCTGACTTTGAGCCCTGTGAGTTGTGTCTGTTGATGGGATAGTAACAGATATGATACAGCAGAGAAGTTTGGAAGGAGCTTAAGAAGTGGTACTTACATCCTGCTACATCTTGAGCATCACTCTAAAGTCATTCTGAGACTAGATTACTGTTTACAGGAAGAAGAAAGGAGACAACTTGGGAAGAGTTGCTCATAGCTGAGTCTCTACTCATCCACTTTAGCTGATCTTCAGACTGTATATTAATAAATAGTTGTGTTAAGCCACTAAAATTGGGGGCACTTTATTTAGTTGTTGTAGCTATCTAATATACTTCAATATTCCAGTGGTCGAATGTTCTATATTAAAACATATTACTAAATACCCATAGAAACTAAAAGTTAAATTATTAATACCATCCATTGATGAAATTATTAGCACCATCTAATGCTGTTCTCCTGCCACATAAAAGAAAAGAGACACATCTGTTTGCAGTAGCATTTGTCGGTCTTACCTGTATGGAAACACTGCTGTATGAGCCACCAATGACCCCTGCAATGAGCAGTGGCATGTTTTCTTGAATAGCATATGATCCGTCAGGACACATATATTCAGCTTCATCCACTTTAGTCAAAGATGCCCTGACAAACTCCAACGATTGCTCTAATGCGTAGGTATCCCTTGAACACGTATCCAAAATGTGAACACCCAGCTTCACTCCTGGTAGCAAGTAATCGTCTTTGTTGATTTCATCAATAGCAAACAACATGGCTTCCAGGCGTTGGATACCACGGTCTTCATTGATTCGCCCACACTCTTCAGTTCCAGTGCCTTTTTCATTAATAGGAAATAAACCACCCAAGACAAGGTCACCTTCTATTTTAATTTCCCTCCTCATAAAGTTGTGATCCCCGAAAGAGGGTAAAAATCCCTTTGAGAACAAAGTTAACATAAGAATTTGGAGTCTTGTCAACATCTTCATGAATCCGGTTTCTGTATCTCTTGGATATATCATTGGGGGAAGCCAATGTTGCCTGTTAGTCTTCTCTCATTTTCAAGTGGGATCTTTGGCCTGTCCTTCAGATAAGGGAGGAGTGGGCTAAAAGAGCCCTTCACCGAATTCCTGAAGAGATAAAAGTTGTATGAACAAAAATGATTTTTAAAAACAGTAATAATTATATAGATGTTTCTCACTAAGTTCTTTGATGGGTTCCTAAATTGGACAAACCAACTTGGGAGCTTCTTTTAGTTGACCTTTATTGACATCTTGACTATTATCTTCCTGTTAATACGGAACTACCTTTATGTTCTCATTTTGCTTCTGGGTACACCTCAAATCTAACAACACCCTCACCCCCCAGTTCCTCCTCCCCATTTCTGTGCCAACTTTCCTGTGTTCATGGCTTGAACTACCATTTCAGTGAGACATAACTCCAACACTGATTACTTGTTAAGTTTAGTCACGTGTCTCTCAACCATCCACAAAGTCTGCATGGAATAAATGGCCCCTCATTCACAATTTCTATATAAATATTAAATCCTTAAAAAAATGGCCCCTTATATTTGTGTCTAGGTTCTCAAGACAGAAATCTGCCATTGAGAGTTCTGCCCACTTCACTTTTTTTCAACACTCTTCCAGTTAGCCATGAGAATAGAAGAATCTCTCTGGCCAACCTCTTTGAAGCCACAGCCCTCTTTGGTACTACTTCAACATTTTTGACATTTCTCTCTTGTCGTGAGAGCAGTTCCCTTTAAAGTCCAGCTTCCTGGTACTTTCACCACGTGGGCAAAGAATAAATTATTTTCTTGAAACACAGACGATTCTGAATTTTGTTAAGTTCATTTGTTTAGGTGTCAATGTCTGTGATGATGACAGCAGTCACTGGAATGTTCCAGGTTAGCCTCGAGTCTCTGCCACAGGGCCCCAGGAATTCTTAAGACAATAATTTCTTTTCAGAGTTGATACCGGAGAGCTATTTTTAAATTGTGGTTACATATCAATGTCTGATTCCTTTGATGTTGTGTACAATTCTCTTTGAAGTATAAGTGCCATCACTAGGAGGCAAAAGATACTGATCGTTATCACAAATAATGAAGATACAGGAATTGCTCTATAAACACACACTTTTATTTGCCTAATTAGAGAGAATAATTAATTCAAAGAAGGTTTGCCATGTATCTTTAAAAATTACTGACATTTTTTTTTTGAATGTAAAGGAGTGTGACACCAACTCCTCAAAGAAAACGTTATAGACAGCTGGAAACTTAATTGCCTTTTGAGAAAGGGCTCTGAAGAAAAGAGCATCTCAGGGGAATCAGCATGTGACTTTTAAAGGTAATGGCACATACAGGTACGATTGCTCAGCAGGTAGAGAGTGTGTATATGTGTGTGTGTGTGCTATTTTGTGTATCTAGGACTTGATATGCTCTTTACATATTCCACGACTATTTTGTGAAGGGTTATAAAGGGCCATGACGACCTTATTTACAAATAAGCTATACTCTTAACACCCAGAATGGCAAAAGGCGTAAACAGGGAAATGCATGGTTTTAATCTCATTAGCTGTCTCCTTACCACATGCTGTCCCCGTTCGCCCACTTCCACAGTAAGACTGCAGCTAGCAGGCACAAAATAAGGGAATGTTTGAGAATTTTTATAGGCTGAGAATTTTTAGTTTGAAAATATGAAGTGCTACAATATCTGTAACTTGAGGATGGATACAGTACAATAAATTATACTCCTAAGTACATGTAACAGGCCACAGCTCAAACACAGGAATATTAATTAAAATATTGCCCCATGAAATGAGTTTGATGTATATATGAAGCACGAATGGACTTCATATTTGGATTTGGGTTCTATCATCAAGATATTGCATTATGAATCTGTAAATATTTTAAAATTTCCCCAAGAATATGAAATTTAAAATAATTCTGGCCTTGAGCATTTTGGATAAGACATACCAACCACATACAAGCAAAAAGAGATGTTTTCTTTGGATTTGTAATTCGCAGTGAAGTTGGGTTCAAACAAAACCATTAATGGACCTGCACTTACTTCTAGGTTTTTATGTCAACGGAAGCATACGTATTATTCTATTTCAAAGTTTCAAAGATTTAATCGACTCAGGTCAAATATTTATTGAATACTTACTGTATATGTACTAGGCCCTAGTTAGACACCTACAATATAGATGCACCTAGTTAGCTGCAAAGTAAATAATGTTGTCTTGGTTATCAAGTAACATTCTTGATTCTTAAAAGTATGTTTGCATAAGTCAAGAAAAGTATTTCTGTTTTCGCCAAGTATTTCCATCATTTAAAAATAATCTTGGAGGTAAGAATATCATGAATTTCCTTTAGTGTGGGTGTTATTATAAGTACTTGACCCAAAGACAACCTACTTATGCTGTATACTGTAGAAATTGAAAACTTAGATATTCAAAGTTCCAATACAAGCTGACTAGTGATTTCGTGCAAAATAATTTTATATAGGCAACATAATGTAGGCATCTTTAAGTACAATATAATGTAGTCTAACACAATTACAATTTAACAATCAATTAAAATAATGTTTAAACCCACTTTCTTAATATTTTCTTTTTTACCTTTTCCTTAAAGTAGAATTTATAATGATTAAGGTTATGTATAATTTATAAATTACTTAGCATTACTTAAGATGAAGCCCTAAAAGCTGAAATAGAGAGGAAATTAAAAAAAATAACATTGAAAAATAGATGAACATGCTTAATCCAATGTAAATGTTTATCTCTGTGTAACAGCTTATCAGATTGAGAGGAAGGCAGAAACTGCTTTGAAGGTTCTGTTCATTGTAAATCAGAAGCAGCTTGGTCCCTGGACAAACAGGTTCCCTGCTAGTCACATTTGAATGCAGCTGGAGGATTGCAGCTCTACTAAATTCTCCATTCAGGGATGCTGAGTGACGTGTCAACTATAAACAAGCATGTGTAGGCCTCTCTGTGGGCAACCTGCTCAGTAATGTTTTATTAATCACTGCATTAATGGAATCTCAGAGGTTTGCTATGAATATCACCCCTAGAATACGTGGGCAGAAAATACTTCTGTGCTCTGGCTATGCTAATATGTATTTTCCCTTCTCCCCTGGCTTTGCCTGGAGAATTGGTGTGGGAACTGAAACCCACCTTGATTCAATGAATAAGTAGTTTTTCCTGGGGAGAAGAAGAGGGAGGTCTAAAGTCTGAAAGGATTCTCACTTTTCCCAGAAAAAAAAAAAAGCCCTAAGTTACTGCTGGATTTCAAAGAGTGTTCAAATCCTGTCTGCCCAAAAAAGTTGTTAACCTAGCATACTGAATTTGATCATTGCTGTAAATTTTCAGATGCTGGATTTATAGACAAAAAAGACAGGACTCTTGTTCTTAGACTTCCATTTTCCCCCCTAGAATAATGTGATGCTGGAGCTATATTGGCATTCAAGTACCAGAGTACAGAAAAATAACATGACGGGAAATTCCTTTCTCTTGCTGAGGGAAGGAAGAGGACCAACAGGCTAATGTCCCAGAGGTCTTTGAGAAGCTTTCATGGTTTGATATGAACTGTCCCTACAGACTCATTATGAGTGCTTAGTTGTCATAGAAAAGGCAGACGGGCTGCTGGGAAGTGTTTGAATCTTGGAGGGTCTGACCTAATCAATAGATAAATGCTTTGAGGAATTCGTAATATAATGACATAATGGGAGGTGGTAAAAGTATATGGTGGGGCCAGATGGGCAAAAGTTGGCCACTTGGGAATGTTTTTGAAGATTGTCTTGCCCTTCTTGTCTGTCTGTCTCATAGTACGTTGTTTGCTGTTAGGCAATTGACTAAGCCAGTAGGTAAGCATTCTACTACATGGTGTCCAACAGGATGCTTGTCCCTCAGCATACATGGAGTCAGCAGCACCAGAAACCAGTAGTGACCATGGATGGAAACGTCTGAGACTCTGAACAAAAATTCCTTTTCCTCCCTCAGTTGTTTTGCTTGGGCATCTCTGTCACAGCCCTCTGAAAGTAAACATGGAAGCTATTACAAACACCTGACTATTGGAAGCTTGATTTTGAGATGGTCTAAACTGCTGGTTCTCAATCTTCCCAATGCTGCAACCATTTAATATGGTTCCTCATATTGTGGTGACCCCCAACCATAAAATTATTTTCTTTGCCACTTCATTACTGTATTTTTGCTACTGTTGTGAATCGTAGCGTACATAGTTTTGGAGGAAGGGGCTTGCCAAAATGGTTGCAACCCGAGATTGGGAACTGTCTCCCTTTGTTGTCTTACGACGGTTGTAAGGGTTCCCTCATTCAGTGGGTTCCCATATATTCTCTGCTAGGTTTATCTAGAGGATTTTATATTATTTTGTTTTATTTGAATAGCTTACTTTTTAATTTTGGTTCTTTTGCATATATATATGCAAAAGATATATGTTTATATGTGTGAGATGTTTATGTAAAGGCTTGAGGTTGAAGGTCAGTGTCTTCTTCCTGCCATCTATACTTTATTTATTAAAGCAGAATCTCTCACTGAACAATGTCTGTATAGTCTAGCTATTTAGTGTGTCACAGGGATCTCTGTCCCATGGGTCTCAGTTTTTCTGTGGGTTCTGGGAATCTGAATTCTGGTTCTCATGCTTAGGTAGCAAGTGCTTTACCCACCAAGCTACCCCACCAGGGCCAAATAATTTGAAGTTAAAAACTGTCTCATTCTTTTTCCCCATTAGATTGTGAACAACTATCTCTCAATCCAGGATGATGCGCTGGGTACTTTTATACACTTTATAATATCTTAACACATCTTTACCAAATATTTGTTAAATAAATTCCCAGTAGCATCTATGTGTCTGAGAACATGTCAGGAGATTTGAACAATTCTGGGATTCCATTCAGAGGGTGAAAAAAGATGAATGAAAAGTTGAATTCAACTAGAGAAATTTGCCTCAAATAGTTCTGACCTGATTACTTTTTGTGTTAAACTATTGTTTCCTGTTTAGATGAAGTAGACATTAGATCTGGAAAAGTTGAGAACATTTGAAAAACCAGGAAAGAACCGCTATCACTCATGTCGCAGACATTAGGAGAAACACTCCTGACATGGGCCAGGTGGAAGA